ACCCTCTTGCAGCAGCCGCTGCTTGAGGAGAAGTGAGAGGCTTGGTTGTCCGTAACTGTGTATTTTGTTTTTCCTTTCCCCTTCAGGTGCTGGTGCAGGAGCTGGAGCAGCACCAGGTCTGTGTGTGCATGGACTCTATGATGATTTCATCTCTCTTGCTGTAGTCGGAAATTTCCTTCTCCTTCTTAAGTCATTCAAGTTTCTTCCACTCTCGTGTCCCAACTGCTGCCCCTCAACACGCGTTGTTTTGGATATATTGTTTACCTCCCTCCCGTTTAATCACTTTTTTTTTTCTTTCTCGATTTAGTTGCTTCCTAAAAGGTTGGATTGGGAAGGAAATGAGCATTATAGAAGTTATGAAGAATTGGTGAGATAAATATATATATTTTTTAAAACTTTTAATTAGGACGATAATGTTGATGTTAGACCCTTTACTTTTAAAAGCAGGCCAAAAGCTTTAATTTACAGTTCCATTCCAGGTCTAGTAAGACGTAGGAGTTATTTTTTTGGAAGGACCTTTAATTTCTTTACATCAGACTAACAAAAACACAAGTGGTGTCTTAAATTGAGGATATTGTTTACATAGCAGAGGTGGAGCTTGGCCTTATGCGTTCCTACTTGCCACTGCCTACATATAGGGAAGAACCAATCTGAGTCAAGGTTTCATTTCAGAGTTTCATGAGCAAGTTTGTTAAGCGTGTTTTGATTTGGCAGTATTTATTTGCTGGTTGGCTTCCTTCATCAGCCCCCTTCAACAGTTTAGGAAATGAAATCGTTGTTTCAGAACTCAAGGGTTGGCAGTTGTGGTGCTACGTCCTCCCTCTCTCTGGCTACTCGCTGGTTATAGCTTGGTCTCCAAACGATAGAAAGATGTGAGTGGTGAATGGTGTGGCCTTGAGGTCTTGTGCCACTTGAAGCTAGCAGCACTAAATGTATTCCTTCACTTCTGGCCATCTCAGAATGGAAAGCTTTTCTTTGTTTGTTTGTTTGTTTTTCTTGATGTTTTATTTTACTGCTTCTGAAGGACTTCAAAATATATTTGGCAGTTTAGTCTATTGAAGTGATGGCTCCTGGTGGTGTTTTGGGAGTTCGTTGATGTGCTACGTTATTGTTCTTGATCTTGTTTTCTTTAAACAAATACTCATTCTTGTTGTGTGTCTGCTTTTTATTTTTTTTAAAGCTTGAGGCGTTCCAGGTTACCTGACTTCTCTCTTACCTGTCAATTTGCACGTTATTGTAGTCAAGTCCTGTACAAGAGAGATGAGGGGATTTGAAGATCTCAAAATAGTATTTGTGTAGAGGAGGAAGAGAATGAAATTTTATTTAAAACATTTTCCTAAGTGCTGTTTAAAATGATAAACTGAATTCCATTTCTTGTCAGTGTGGTCAGTTGAGCAAATGAGTTTTTTAAATTAATGCTTTGAGTCAGTAAATGGAAAGCCAGGTCTTGCTAAACAGGAAATCTTTCAAGCTCTGACTTGAATTGAGCAAATACGACAGTGATATTAAGTTTGAAAGTTGGTCTTTTGTTTTGTTTTGTTTCCTGGAAAACAGTCGCAATATTGGGAGATGTCATGTGTGGATTCTTCTGACTTCAGTGCGTTTCTTTTTTCTATGTTTATGCATATAATGTCAGATAAAAATCTTCAATATGTTTCACTTTGTCCTCTTTTTCCTACATCATCTAAAAGAAATACTTATACCTGATGGTAATATTTCATAGTATTCAAAATTCATCTTCTGAAGGTTGTTTTTTTTTTCTACTTTTAGGGGGGCTTTGGGAACTTCTTGTTGTCCACCTGATCTCACTTTTTTGTTTAATTTGCCAAGATTGCAGGGAAATACAGTCACGTGATGCAGTTATTTCTCTTTGTTAATTGCAGAATTGGAGCATGAATTTAAAATAATTGCTCCTTCTAAAATCAGAGTAAAACTATTTAAAAAGAATCACTATCACTAGGTTTTGTAAACATGCTGCCATCAAGGTTTGCATTTGGAATATATGCTTCCTGATGATGGCACGCAAACAAAATGATTTATAATGCTTGAGCTTTTGAGCTTTCTGTCCTGAATGCCTTGGCTAGTACTACAGTAGGCCATTTCAAGTAGCAAGCTTTTTATAAAGAAAAGATGAAAAAATACAATCTTTAGACTACTATGAAGTGTATTTTCTCATAATCAACTTAAAGATCTACTCAGATGATTTATTTGGATATATTTGACTCTGTGGCAATATTAACTGTTTTACTCCTATAACCGGGGAAAAAAAAAAACAAAGAATCCCTCTGCCCCCTATAAGCTTTATGTACATTACTTGGTTTTAGCTTGAATTTTTATGATTAAAACAAGCAGTAGGTTGTGCATTAAATTACAATGTTCTCCATATTCAGTATTCTTAAACTGTTTTGGCTGGAGAAGGATAGAAATAGTCCTTGAGCTTTTAAAGTCCTGAGCAGTCATCAGAAGATTTTACTTGCGTAGTTATAGTTTATACCAGTATACGTTTGGGCAACTTGTTAGACAGTTCTTTCTTGACAACACTCCTACATTTCCAATAAGGCCGATCTCATAATCGGAATAGTATCTTTTAGATTCAATTGGTTCACTAAGGGAATAGCATCATAAGTGTGAGCTTATTTTGCCTGTATTCTGAACTCGATGGGCAAAGGGTCATGTATCTGTGTGGATGTGACTTTCTGCCTCTGTGGGGTGTGTTGGCTGTGGAGTAACTTCTTTGCTATATGGTAGTATGACTTCTTGGTCAGACTGGCTTACGTGTGGCCAGATCAGGCAGTTAGAGAAGCATGGATCTGCTTGCAGCTGTTTGATTCTGATCTTCTCCGTAGTTTAAAGTTTTTCTGCTGATGATTTATTTCACTGACACTAAGTATTAGAGTTTACTCATACTTATTTGACTTCTCCCTTATTGTGTAGTTAGATAAGGATTTTTTTTCCATTGAGCTTCCAGAAGGGAAGACACGGAGGAATAAAACACACATCTGACTTTGGTGGCGACGTCTGAGTGGGGAGGGAGGGTGTATTTTTTTAGATTTTTACATGTAGATCTTATGGAATCCTTCCTGAATGGATAGATGACTGGGTTGATCCTATTGGTTTAAGGAAGTAGAGTAGTCTTTTGCTATGCGGTACTGGTTCTTCAAGGAAACTTTCTGCAGAGAGGTTGTGTACTTCTTAAAACCTATTACACTGCAGTTTACTGAACAACTACGGGGCAACTGAAGTACCAGTTGCATGAATTCTTACGCTCGGTTGCAACAAAATTTTCCATGACCTTGAGTCGTGAGAGCTTGATTATTCATTTTATTTTTTTAAATAAAAAAGTAGGGGCAAATTGGTCAAAGACAGTGATTGTAGCGTGCCATTCAGAAATGAATGCCGTATGTGTGAATACTACAAGTTTCCAGTAGTAAAATGCTGATGTGCAATAAGCAATTTTAATACAGCACTTTCACTGTTGGAGAGCATTCACTGAGTTCACTGGATACGTTCAACTTAGAGACCAAAATCAATTCTGTACAGCTCTTAAGTATATTAAACATGTTATTTAAATGTTGATGTGAATAATGATGCTTTTAGGCTCATCTAGTCTGGATGTACCATGTATGTGTTTAAAACTTAAATTT